TATGGATTATATTACACATTGAGAATACCGTTATCACATGTGATAATATACATGAGGGGGCTTAATGGTGTGCGGGCGACTTGGCCAACAACCTAGGTAGCAAGAAAGGTCATCTTTGACTCTGATTTAGTATTAGATATGTATCATATAGGATAGACTATAGTATCACATGTGATTGACTATAATAAAAAGGTGTTCTCGCATTACCGTAAAATGAGTATGTTCTCATTTGAACCCTTCCCTACACATTTAGGGGTTAGTTCAAATAACAATGCTAAATATCGTGAAAAGTAAAAATGAAGGGTTAAGGGAATATTCTTATGTGAATTACTTAAAAGAATTCAAAAAAAAAAATACTTCATATAAAGGTGCATATGTGAACTAGCGTTACAAATTATTCATATAGATCCATGTATGCATTTTCAAATAGATTTTTTCCGTAATTCACTTGTGAAGCTTCCATTAATCTTCTCTTCTTGGCTTCTCATGACATTAGTCTTCTTGTTTGAACCTTCATCCATACACACACACACACATATATATATATACATATATATATATATATATACATATATATATATATATATTATATCATATATAGGTGGTTCTTTGCATGAGCATACCTTTATTTTATGAAAACGCGAGAACACTATATATCTACAATCAATCACATGTGATAATACACGTAAAAGGACTTGGTGATGTGTGGGAAACTAGGCTCGCAACCTATGCTACCAAAGGTCGGCCTCATCTCTCTTTAAAGTATCACCCAAAAACAGATTATAAACTTTATCTCCGACCTCTGGTAGCAGCAACAACAAACACGAGTTCAATAGTATATGTAACCGAGCTTCAATGGTCATTCATTCAACAACCTTGTGGACATTTGGTGATAGGGTTTTTTAAGAACTTTGCACCGAAAATCGCTTCAACTACGATGATTTCTTCGGCTTCAGTAGTGATGATAATCAGCTTAATATTGGCAACAGAAATGTAAACAATAATATTACTCGTACAAAAAAGGTGGAGGAAAACGATCCTTGATTAAAACGAACATAGGTTTGAGTTTCCTGTTGTTTGTGGAGAATCTAGTACGTCTCAATTTCAGCGGATCATGAGGTATTACTCGGAGAGTCAGATCTTGTCGAGGTATCCACAATTTGATAGAAGTTTGTTGTTAGACTCCAATCCTGATTTCAGGTAACGTTGTTGATTGTTCGGAGATTGAGTCTACGTTGTCTCCAGTGGCACGACTTCTTTGAGGAATCTTTTCAGCGAAGACGCGATTCTTCGTCGTCTTCGTTGTCGAAGGTGGATTATCTAGACAGAGTTACGCCTGGATCATACTGCGTCTAGAAGCCGGAGACTGCATCATGGTTGTGAGTTTTTTTGGAGGCTGATCATGGAGAGATTACCATCAAAATAGATAATTCTAATTATTTATTAAAATTAAAATTTAAAATATTTAAAATCTCTCCCAAAACCATCCTTTCTTTAATTTTAATTCAAATATGGAATCTCCTCCAACCGTTGATAAAAAAAGGACAGTCTAGATGGGTTTGTAAGGGTTGTAACCTTTAGAGTTTGTTTCAAATACAACTTATCGCATTTGTACAAACAATGCAACCCAATAAATTGAAATATTTATGGAAATAATGAGAGTTCATTTATTATAATTTAAATATTTATAGAATATGAATACGGTTCATTAATTATGTTTAATACTTTATAATAGAAAATAATCAAAACTTCTATAAATTACATATTCATCAAATTAAATGGACGGTTGAGATTGGGTTGTATTGGTTGTACAAATGTAAGAGGTTGTATAATAACCCCTCTCTCTCTCTTTCTCTCTCTATATATATATATATATATATATATATGCTTAATCAAATGAGAACTCGGTAGTTTGTGATAACCGTGAAATCTAATGTGAGTCAATCATTTAAGATAATTAATGTTATTTCTTTGACTAAAATAAAAGAGTAAATTAGTAATTTGATATTCCCATTTTGTATATAATTAAATTATTTAACATCTCTCTCTCTCTCTCTCCATATTTCCATTCTGTATCCCCAAAATTAGCATTTTGGTGTTATGAACACGTTGTAAACAATGTGTATCACAGTGGTATCAAGGTGTATATAATGGATATCACAGTCGGTATCACAATGTTGGTGTTGTGAGCAAGTAAACAATGGTTATGATAACGTGTATACAATGAGTATCACATTGAGTATCATAACGTGTATACAATGGATATCACAGTGTGCATATTGTATGTATCTTGGGTATTACAGTAAGGATCGTCTGTATGTATTTTGTTAATAGTGGCGATGTTTTCTAGATATCACATTATGTATCTTGTGTTCAGATGGTGTTCATCGAAGAGAGAAGATATAAGATTTCTCCACATATATATACACACACACACACACAGGATCACGTGTGACCAACTTGTTTTTGTGAAACTTATGAGACCACTTTTATTGTGAAGGTTTGGATTTTTTTTTAACTTTACTGTTGTGAAATTTCAAGTGTAAAAAAGTCGTCTCACGAGTCTAACGAAAACAGTATGATCTCATATGAATTCAACCATATATATGTATGTGTGTGTGTATATATATATATATATATATATATATATATATATGAATATTCAAATAGAAAATATATCCATCCTTTCAAAACCCTAGAGGTCAGATTCACTAGTATCCAAACCAGGCCTTTGAAAGATGAAGACACTCTTTCCGTTTATGGAAACCCTTAACGATACTACCAACTTTTAAATAATAATAATTACCATTATTATAGGTTTATTAAATATTTAATTACACAGACAACCATGCCACAGCCACTAAACTACACTCGTTTACTTCCAAAAATACCCATTTTCTTATTAAAATAAAACCAAAGATAATTTATTCAAATAAGTTTATAATAATTAAATACATTAACAATATTATTATTCGTCGACTCTTTCAATAAATAAAATATGCAAGAATCTTTCAAAATTGCAGACCTCAAAATAGCATTCTTCTCGATGTTTGATCATATTTGGTAATATAACTGTTCATAATTTATAATATCAAAAACTATATATATATACACTTGTTGTGTACCCACGCAAAGAGGCAAGAGCTGTGAATTTTATCAATTTTGAAGTTTTACTGGTTTTATTAGAGAAGATTTAACGATGATATAAGTTACAATTGGTATTTACATATTAATACAATTTGAATAAATAAGAGTTATGGTTCCAATTACAGTCTATCGATGAAAAAAATTGTATGACAATTTAAAATCCAATATATTTAAAATACAACATATTTAAACGACTCCACAAATGTGTTCAATTTACACCAAGAGCAAAGAATCAAGAGATCGAGAGCGAAACCGAGAGTTCTAGAGCAATTGAATGGAGATGAATGATATGACTTTTAATAACTAATGATGAATATCAGTTTGAATATCACATTGGGGGGTGGGGAGAAGACATAAAGGTATGAGAGGGTGAAAACATGAGTGAAAGATGTCAAAAGTATATTGAGAACATAAAAAGAAAAGGTAATAATGTGCATTGGTATCTTGCACTATATGTTATTTTAATTGTAGATTAAGAGATTTTAAGACTAAATGCATAAAGTAGTAATACTTAATGCATTATAAGTTGTTTTTAAGACTTTGTGCATAAATATATAGTACTTTGTGCATTAAAATTTGTTTTTAAGACTTTTGATAAATCTGGTTTATAAAATTATATATATATATATATATATAGGGTTGGGTTAATGTGAGACCAGTCTGCTTTCATAAAACTATTTTTTTACATTTGAAACTTCACAGCAAAAAACTAGAGGGATGTAATTTATATGGCATTAAACTAAAAAAAGTTAGGCATAATTAATTAAAGAAGAAGATTTAGTGAAAGATAATATAAAGAAAATGATTGGTTTTTAACTTTGGTGAAGTGGCAATATTAGCATATATGTGATCTTCTCTATAAAATCATGAATTTAATCGATAAATAATTAATCGAAATTTTTAATTATTAATATATAATCTTATTAAATCCTTACTTTTTAGAATCTAATTCATGGCTCTTTGTGTCACTATAATGGAAACTTTGATACCGATCAATATATGTATGGTGTATGTGTAACACTTTAATTAAACAAATTATAAAAATATAAACATAACGACCATATTTCTTACAAAATTACATTCAGAAATTTCATTGTTGGGACAAAAACAAGACGTGACATTTTAGAACAGATAATTTTTATCTGTCTGCAAAAAAATTCTGATACCATGTTCTCAAAAAACGTCAAACAAGTTTGAATTTATAGTTAATATAAGTCAATTACCCCAACTTTTATTCTTTTCAATCTAGCACAATAAAGATTTGCTTCATTCGTATTTACTTTATCGATCAGTTTGTGCTTTAGAATAAAATAGAAATATATGAATATGAATATATGCTAAAATTCACCTAAATTTATTTAAAAAAATAGATGCCTTACACTCTAATATTCTCTTGTTATCTCATAATTATAAATAAAATTAAAATTTTCGGTTGGAATCATATATCAATCGGCTCGTGAAACTTAATTACGTGTATTTTATAAAATACGTATTTTTTTATAAGGTGAATCATGCAAGAGACAAAAAATTTAAGACGATATATCGAAAGAATTATATTTTTATATAATATTTTTAATAAGTTGGAATCATCGATCGGTAGATGGATGTTGATTTATACTCTTGGGAATAATATATATGAAAGTGTCGTCCATTGTGTTCATAATGTAAATGCCTAATCTTTATGAGCATTATACAAAGCAAGAATTCTTTTTAGTGACACCCATATTTTTATAATTAATTCTCCCATCTTTTTTATTTTCTTGATATATATATACATATATATATATATATATGTATGTATGTATATGTGTTCTTCGTGTTGATCTTATCGCGAATCTTGATCTTGAATTCTTGAAGACTTGGTTCGAAATCGCTGTTTTGATCGGGGAAAAGTTTTGGGTTTTTTTGATTTTGACAGAAAAGTATGAATACTTTGAAGATTGGGTGTAACCATGAAATGGTTTACAATATGAAAAGTAGAGAATTTGGTGGTGCAACACAACAACAGCCATGGCAAGTTGGAATTACCATTTTGCCTTCAGAAATGGAGGCAAAAGAGACTCATCAGGATCATCAACAACAGCAACAAGAACAAGATCATCAACGGCAACAGATGATAACTTATAGACAAGAAAATTCATCTTGTAGTAAGACGATCATGGAACAGATCGGATCGCCATCTTCTGCGCTTTATGCAACGGAAAAATACTTGGGGTTTTCGCAGAACGGTGTTCATCTATCTTTTAATGACGAAACTGATGTTTCTTCTGTACCCCAGATGAAGTTTGATGCTTATATGCATCCTCTTGAAAAACCTCGAGATAGTTTCAGCTTTGGTTCTTACGAGAGACCGTACAAGATGAGGTGCAATAATCCATCGGAACGGGATCAGATTATGGAGCTAAAAAGAAAGCTACTTGATGAATCTGATACTTCTGATTGGAGACAATCACAACCCTCTATTTGTTATGATGGAAACCAGGATCTTGGGGTAAGTTTTCTATTTAGTTTCTTGTGTTTTTGTTTACTTTTTTCGGTTTTTGCTGATAAAATGTTGCTTTCCTTTTGCAAATAGGGTCAATTTGGTCATTCTGGGCAGACGGGTAGACCGCCTTCCGGACAAGTTTCGATCAACTGTGCGAATCCTGGAACTGTTGGTACGATTATGCCGAGTAAGACACGAATTAGATGGACTCAAGATCTCCATGATCGGTTCGTGGAGTGTGTGAGTTGCTTAGGTGGTGCTGAAAGTAAGTGAATTCTGTATAAACACCTCTTTAGTTTTACCATTCATTCACATGTGAATATTATTAATCTGTTTAGAACCTTTTTCATAGAGGCAACTCCCAAGGCAATTCTGAAACTGATGGACTCCGAAGGGTTGACAATCTTTCATGTGAAAAGCCATTTGCAGGTACCTGTTAGCATCAGATAATTAAATCTAGTTTCTAGTTTAAGAACTTTTCTAGTTTTCGCTTCTGAATCTTGAGTTCGATCTGGTTGCTGTTTCAGAAATACCGAATAGCCAAGTACTTACCGGAATCTGCAAAAGGTACCGAGAATTTTGTTGAATCGTGGGGTTCGTCTTAAGTTCTTATTGTTTAAAGTGCACCTAATGCTTTATGAAATGCATTCTGACCAGGTTTCTATTGTCTGTAGGAAATTCTGAGAAAAGAACTAGCATGGATACCATATCGCAGATCGAGAATATTACGTAATGTTTAGATTTTCTGTCTTAACTGAAATTCTTTCTTACCGTACTGCAACAAAATCTGGTTTATAGGACACCAACAATGTCTAAGACCGTTTTATAGGTCCAAACAATAGTGTCATATCTAAAAGTGATGTAATAAGTTTATAGAATGTTTTTGGCCATCTTAACATTTTTTTGAAACATTTTTAAAATAAAGTGTTGTATGAGCTATTTTATAGGACACTTTGGATAAGTGTCTTATAAACACATCTTTTTATAAGACATTTTCTCAAATAGTGTCCTATAAAATAGTTAATACAATGTTGTAGCTTAAAAATGTTCTAAAGAGCTTATTAAGACGCCCAAAATCATCCTATAAACTTCTTTGCAACACTTTATACAGGACAATATATCGTTTTGTTTAGTCCTATAAACTTATTGCAACATTTTTATATAAGACGTTTATCGTTTGGTTCTATAAACTTATTGCAACACCTTTATATTGAACCACTTAGACAGTTTTTAACGTCTTATAAACCCAATCGTGTTGCAGTGCAGTGCCTTTTTTTTTTTAGTGGCTTAATTTTACCTGAAATTCTGGCTTATTCATCAGTGGCATGCAATTTAAGGATGCACTGCAAATGCAACTTGCTGTACAGAGGCAACTCCATGAACAGCTAGAGGTATGAAAACTAGTTTGTATTTTGAATTCAAAATATGCAATTTTGATGTAACATTCTCGACCAAATATCGTCTGTTATATCCACACCCGTATTCACAAATATATAACACGTCTTATAGAGGATTTATTCGATCCCTTGTAACACCAGTCCCGCTAAGCCAATAACTTCGAATTCAACTTAAAGCCTGATAAAAGTTATTGGTAGCCTACAACTTTGAGCTTAACAAGTTGAATAAATTTTGTTTCGCGTCTCAGATTCAAAGGAACTTACAGTTGCGGATAGAAGAACAAGCAAAGCAACTAAAGAAGATGTTCGATCAGCAACAGAAAGCTAACAAGTCCCAGAATTCAGAAATCACATCGTTACATGATGATCACCACGCCATGAATCTTGAAGACGACGATATTTTGAATTTGGAAGTTGATTCCGAGAATACCCTTTTCCCATCGAAGATTAGTTAGATTTCCGTCTGGAAGTTAAGCTAAAAACATGTTTGATCGAATATCCATTTGTGTTTAAGAGTTGCGGCAAAATGCACGAATTTAATTCCCATTTACATGATGATCAAGAGGCAAAAGTTGCAGCTGACCAAAGAGAAGCGCTTTTCTGAATCAAGTTCGAAATCCCGATTGTAAAGCACCGTGTGTCTGTACTAGATGACTACACTGTTATCTTGTGTACAAATAAGATCTGACAATCAATAAGAACTATATGCAATTCATTTTGAGATATTAAGAGGTGAAACAAAACCGAAAAGGAAAAACAGACGATAAATTTAAATGATCCAGGTCTAGCTGATGTGAGACTCCAACACGTCCCTCCAACGGAGGATAGACAGGCACAAACAGAGTGGTGAGAGGGGGCTAGAAAGGAGCGAGGGGGTTAGATTGCCCAGTTGATCGAGTCCTAGAGTGGTTGACTTTGGCTCTGATACCATGTGAGAATATGTGAAACCCCCGGATTAGTCTCCGAAAGAGCCCTTGAGAAGAAATAGTCCAAGTCTAGCCAATGTGGGACTCCAACACGCCCTTTTTCCAATGGAGGCTAGACGGCACACATTGTCCCTGAGTGTTGAGAGGGGGCTAAACATGAGGGGGTTAGACGAGTACAGATTGTCCCAAAGTGTCAAGTCCTAAAACCTTGTCTATGTGCCATTTGAGAATATGTAAAACGCCCATATAACTCTACAAAATAGCCCTTCAGAAGAGAAGAGAAGGGAGGTTCAAACATATAGAACGAAAAAATGGTCGAGTCTAGCCCAAAAACGAAGTTATGATCATGTACCAATAACGCAATTCACCCGTTATATGGTTTTGGAATTCCCTTACGGGATTCTTAGAAAACTCATGAAATATAGCATGGTCACAAGTTAGAGATTAGGATCACAGCTTTCTTTTGCTTCGATCTTAATGATGAACAGTAGTTAAAAACTCGACTTCCTTGAAAAATTCGAACTTTGTCAGTTTAGAAACTTGGAAGATTTCCGATACTTTTGAGAAGGATGTGTAAGAACGATGATTACAAGAAGAAGATATTTCCGGCATTGTAAAACAATGTACTATAATCATTGTTAATGGCTTAATGACAAATGAAGAAGGTTTCTAGATACCAACAAATGATGATGTCAAAATCATGGCAAAAGACCTTGTAATCATCGTTCATAAAGTCCAAACAGACAGACAGAAACTGGCACTAGCTCATTTAACAGAGTTCTAGCTTAATAACCTGCTTTGTTTCAGCTATATTTATTGTCTTTAAATCGACACGAAGATAAGCATGCCGCCCGGATTCAGGTTGGCGCTGTGATTACGTGAAAATAATTATTTACAAATACTAAAACTAAAAGATCGAATCGAATGTAGTCAAGAACTTGATGATTTGTTTTCAAGTGTTAACTCTATGCTGCTGCTGCTGAAAGTCAACTACTTTTTTTCTGAAAAACCCCATTCTTTCCCTCGATCGGATGGAAGAACCTTAGGGCATGTTTATTAGCAGCTTAATGAGACTCGTAACTTATTCCTTCAGCTATACATGATTGTTTAGTAGTGACTTATTGATATAGAAAGTGGCTTATACAGTATGCTTCTAGGGGAAGTTTTATGCAAAATGTCAACCTGTCCCTCCCAATTAAAAAACAAGCTCCTTCCATCTATGAACAACCCCACTTCCCGATCTATATAGAGAGAGAGTAATCCACACACACAAACTTATCCATGGTTTTCCATTAAGTTCTGTATGGAGAAGTTGTTTGTGTCGAGCAATCTGTCTGTATAGGTTGAGAAAGATTTTATTTGGGAGGATTTTTTAATAGATGGAAGGAGTGCATTTTTTAATTGGGAGGGATGGGTCTGGAAAAAAAAAACTTTGGCTTTTTGCATAAAACTTCGCTTAGAACCATGAATAAGCCACTTTCTATATCATTAAGTCACTACCAAACAATCATGTATAGTTGACTGAATAAGTTGTGAGTCTCATTAAACTCATTAAGCTGCTAACAAATAGGCCCTTAATGAAAAACCAATCAAGCAACCCCTTAATTAGGTAGCCCTTGGTCAATTCAGGAATCTAGACAAATTCTTGTTAGAGTCCCGCATCGGCTAGACTTGGACCAGTTCACCTCTACATATGTTGGAACCCGGGGCTCTTTTGGAGATAAGTCCAATCGGGTTCGACATAGTTGAAGTTGAAATATGGAAAGTATAAATAGGAGTGTCTCCAAGGCAATATTGAAACCGATGGACTCCAAACCGAAAAGGATTAACAATCTAATGTGAAAAGTCATTTACAGGTACTGATTAGCATCAAACAAATCTAGCTTTTTGTTTAATTATAAGCACTTTTCTACGTTTTCTCTTCTGAATCATGAGTTATGCTACACTTTCAGAAACAGAATACTCACCAGAATCAGCAAAAGGTACGGAGAATTAGATCGGATCATGGAGTTCGTCTTAAGTTATTTTCGCTTCAAGTTCATCTAAAGCTTTATAAAATGTATTCTGATCGGACCTCTATCATCTGCTGAAAATTCTGAGAGAAGAACTAGCATGAATACCATATCACAGATCGAGAATATAACGTAACGTTTAAACTTCCCAACTGAAATGAAATTCTTTTTGTCACCTTGAAATCTGTCATAAAACACCATTCAGTTACTTGTTTTTTACCTCAAATTCTGGCTTAATGGTTCATCAGTGGCATGCAATTTAAGGATGCACTGCAAAGGCAACTAGCTGTACAGAGACAGCTCCATGAGCAACTAGAGGTATATATTGCAGACTAGTTTCTATTTTGTTGTCAATCTAATAGAAATTTGCCTCCCATCTCAGATTCAAAGGAACTTACAGTTGAGGATAGAAGAAAAGGCAAAGGAACTAAAGAAGATGTATGATCAGCAAATGAAAGCTAACAACTCCCGGAATTCGGAAATCACATCCGTGGAAGTTGATTCCGAGAATACCCTTTTCCGATCCAAGATATGAGTTGGTTATCCATTTGTGTTTACATGATTTAGAGCAAAAGTTGTAGATGATCTTTGAATGAAGTTCGAAATCATGATCATTGTAAAACACGTGTGTCTATACTGTTAAAGTCCGAGGTCAGCTAGATTTGGACCATTTCACGCTTCTATATATGTGTGGACCCCTTTTATCGAGCTTCAAAAGGGCTTTTTAAAGAGTAATTTAATGGGGTTATATACGAGATGAGTTTTTGGAATTCCCTTGTGGGATTCTTAGAGAACTTACTAAATTTATCATGGTCACAATTGATTCTAGAAACAGATTTAGAATCATAGCTTTCTTTTGCTTCTTAATGATGAATAGTAGTAAGAGGTTGTTTGTTTTTCTCTTAATAGTTCCATTAAGAAGCAGCATCTGAATCATTAAGAACCGAATCTTGCTTGGCAAAAAAAAAGTCTTGCCTCTTAATGGTTCTAAAAGCCTCTGAATGATTTTTTATCCTGAACCTCCCTTAACCATTAAGTGTCATGATTTCATTGTAAACAATTATCAAACCATTATATTTTATTTTGCATTATATCATGAAATATTTAAGGAGATAGATTTTGGAAATTTTGTATTTATAGAGTTGCTGGAGTCCCAGATCAACCAGAATTTGACTCTTTCTTAATCTAAAGATAGACAAACAAGAATGCCCCAAAACTTTGAATTGGTCAACCTAAACCGGGCCTTGGACTCACTAGGCCCAGGTTTTTTGGGTCGGGTATGGGTTTTTTGTGTCTTTGTTGCTACGTGCGCATACACAAGTCGTACTCGAAAAACAAGATAACTCTTCACGCTTGCTCAATAAATCACCAAGTTTTGTCGACATGTAGATTTCAAAACAATTAGCAATTAAGTTCAAAGAATCACCTCGATTTAAGTTACGAATGAAAATTTACGACCTCCGAAGATGCTATTACATGTATAGCCATTTACAGACAAAAGTTAACAGTGTCAAATACAAGACCGAGTCCGTAAGAGAAAAAAACCATAAAGACCAAAAATATAATAAACAAACTATAGAGACGATATTCAATAATTTCAATACGGTACAGGGACCAAACATAGGTGGATCCAGAAAATTTTCAAAGTGATACACCAACTAAGTGTCCTAATATAAAATAAATGTTAATTAAAAAATACGGTTTTATCATACATACATACAATTAATGTTAAAAATATGGCATTTTTGATTTACGTTAACATAAAAAATATAATTAATTTAAAAAATATGTAAGAGTATAAAATAGATATTGAGAAAGGAAGGGAATTAAATTAAAAACACTAAAATATTTTTGATTTACTTGATTAATTATTTTTTAATTAAAATTCATCCATAATTGTAATCAATCAAAATTAAGTATTTATTTTTTAGATTAAAAAACATGATTTCCGTATTACCTGCAGATGGGTGTGTCTGCTCGTAATACCAACATCATGTTTTATTATTATTTTTAATAATAAAACATTTTTTGGTATTGCCAGCGGATGGGGGTGTCAGTTGGTAATACCAAAAAAAATTCTTTTTTTAATTTTCGATGGATTATCGACGGATACCCAAAACGAAAAACAATATATATATCATCTTCATCTGTCGGTGATTAAATACATAGTTTTCGAAAAATTGATAATAAAAAGGTAATTGACCAATAATAAAAAATTATTTATAAACAAATAAATAATTACAAAAAGGAAAATTCAAATTAATTCCAAATTCTACAAACCAAACATGATTTATAACATAATGGAATTCAAATCCAACCAAACACAAAAGAATTCAAAATCTATTCCAATCAAACTCTAAATCACTAAAAAACAATCCTACAAACCAAATGCCCCTTTGTTATTCGGGCTTCTAAACATTTGGCTATTAGTTAACTATGTTCATGAAACCTCAGCAATTCTCAAATTTTACAATTTAATAAGATGAAATAGCTTGGTTTAAGGGTTTTTTAAACTTGAAATCAGTTATATTTAATTCAATACTAGGTTTTACTGTTTTAATTTTAGAAAACTGGTTCTAATTTTTTACAATGCCAAATTTGAACCTACCGTATTTCACATCAGCCACGAACTAGTTTTAAGGAACTGTCAGTTACAATTTTTAAGTCACCTATCGTATCACAACATTAAACATGTTGGGTTTGATTTTGTTATATACCATTAAACTTTTGGATTCATCCCCCCAAACCCGTCAAAAATTAGATAGGGTGAGGGCTGAGACAGTCGGAGTGTCGGACAAGGGCATAACATGGAGCAGGGGTCAAGGACGAGGGTGCATTTCGCCACCCCATTACTATCCCTTGTTTGGTAAATGATTTGAATACAAAGTTTACAATTTAAAAGAGTTAGGGGTCGTTTATCTATAAACACTTACCCGGTAAGTGTTTATCGTAAAATTCAACAAAATCATTTACTTGTCGGATAAGATTTTAGCCTACCAAAATGACATGACATCGTATGTAACAATTTAACTTATTTGTGCTAACTGTGGTAAGAGTCGTCGCCATCATTTACCGGGTAAGACTCTCAGTCCTTGCCTTTGTTTTTACCGAGTAAGATTCTTGGTCCTTGCTATATTCATCCGGAAAAATACTGTGATTTGATAAACGCTTACCCGAGTAAGTATTTGGTAAACAGCTCCATAGCTTAATTAACAATAAGTCTTAAATGTAAAATGACCAAAAATAATAAAAAGATTATAATTTGACCCGTTTCGTAGACCCATTAATCTCCGGATCTAATTCGGCAACACCACCCGACCCGTCCAACAATTATCAAAATGGGTTATTTGTGGTCGTAAAAATCCACAAACATTACGTATTTGAGGATCGGCTAAGAAACCCTTCGTACCCAGAGAAAAAATGGAGGATTTAAAGAAGCGGAAGCTTGAGGAGACTGCCAATGGTGAAATTACCGCCAATACATCCGAAGAACAGTTGCGGTCTCTCTTAGACCCACTTGCCAAAACCCAGCTCGTCGATCTCTTATCGAAGTTGTATGTTTCTCATTCCAAACCAAACCCCGCCTTTCGACCAACTTTTTTCGTGGGTTTCTTCAATTTCTGATATCTTTAGCTTTTTTCTGTGTGGCTTTTGCTTAACTGCTAAGGATTGTGTCTATTTGTTGTCTGAATCGTTGCATATCCTTAAGCGTATAAGGGTTCAAAAAGTTGGAATTGATTCATGATCCTTTTTGTGTTTATTATTTGGGTTGCATTGATGTTCTATGCATACGTTTTGGTTTGCTTTGAAATGTTCAAAGATGGTAGGATCAAGGATGTAGCCATTTATACATGTTATGAATACATAATGCTCAATCAAAGACAAAAGAATTTTGGGCTTTGTTTAACACGAATTAAGAATGTGAATTTTATCACTAGTAATTTGAATTGCGAAAGAGTGAAGAGATAAGGGAGGAACGATAGAAGCATCATCTAATCGAGAATTGAATGCTATGCATGACAAGAAGCTACAAATTGTAATTTTCCTTGATGCATGAGGTGCCTAGAGAGTATGTTTTACGATCAGTCACTCTTAGGAAGGGGACATAGGACATGTTGAGGGCATTTGCCATTAGAGGAGACCAGGGTTATTGGAGGGGAAATCGTCCAAAATAGCCATTCCGTCATTTTATAGCCACTTCTCATACCCAATTGACCAAAGTAGCCATGATTTCGCAAGCATCACTTTAGCAACTTACAAAATCTACTTTTTATAATTTAACATTCATAAAGCAATCTTTAGCATGCTACTTGCAAAATGCTGACATGGGAAGTAGCACTTTAGCAAGTTGGGTAAGCAGCATTATAACAATTTTAGCAAGTTTAGCATTATAACAATTTTAGAAAGTAACACTTTAGCAAGTTGAACAAGTAGCACTCTAGCAACTTGCGGAATTGCTACCTTTTGGATATCATATTCATAAAAAGTGAATTTTCGCAAGTTGTTGAAGTGCTACTTGCGGAATATTGGCTTATTTGGTCAATTATGTAGAAAAGTGGCTATGAAGTGAATTGAGGGGGGGGGGGGTTTGAAAATGGCTATTATTGGACAATTTGTCGTTATTGAAGTGTAAATTTATGCATCAAGAATTTTAGATCTTAGATGATTGTCAATGATTAGGGGCTATCTAGAATCCTAGATACACTTCCTTCAGATTCCATAATCTCTCTGTTATTTCATATATCGAAATTGTCATCTGAAGTACAAGTGCTTCAGAGTGGCAGGTTGTTAAAGCTGGTAGAGTTTTCTTTCCCACCTTAATATTATGGACATCGTCCCCTAAATCCTGGCCGGGTACCTAGAGAACCAAAATTCTCATCTCTGTGTGTAATCAATTTGAGAAATTTTATTAGAGTTGTGGTGGCATGGAATGAGTTGTCATATGAGTTGGATCTTCACATTAGGTTGAAGTTCCGTTGTTGGAACATTTCCGCTGATTCAATTAGTTGTATTTACATATTGAGGAAGAAAAGATCTGGAGGTAGAAAATCTAAGTGTTGACTCCAAGCTTGATATTTGGTTACTATCTAATATCGGTCAGAAATAACATCATAACAATTAACCAATGGGTGTGATTGTTCCAGTTAATCTTGAGACCAAGTAATGGGGTAGAGGGAGGTCGTTCTTTTATGGATGATGTGAGACTCATTTATGGTCATTGTTTCTTAACCCAATGGCTACGACTTTGGGATGTGAATCCCCAAAATACTAGTAAATTCTTTTGATTTAGGACGGAATTAAGGCATAAAAATTAGAATAAAAACTAAATATTTAACATGTTTTCCAAGATCTTCACCCCAAAACCCTAGGATCTTTCAAGATTCACATCCAAGATAATAAGCTTCACAAAAAGGGCCGATTCACTTCGTAAAAGAATGCTTTTTTAAAGTAAATTCTTAAACTACCCGGTACCCATTATCTTTTTCTTGCCTATAAACAAGCCCAATGCAACTCTAAGCTCCCGAAGTTACACAATACAGAGACCAATAAAATGGGGAGAATCTATGAGGAAGATACACCAAAACTAGATGTGTGTCACTTGTTTTCCCACTAACCGTGGGTGTCTGGGCCAGCTTGCGCGCACCTTGACTAAACCCATGGGGTCTTGAAGACGACAGTTTGGAAAATCCCCAGTGGTCCTAAGGGGACTTGAACTAGCGACCTATGGAGAGGACCCCCAAGGCCTAATCTTTATTTTCCAGTTGAGCTAACCCTTAAGGTTGATATGTATCACTTTGTGTTCACGTTTGTTTATGTTCTAAAGTTTTTAGGTCTTTTATTTTACATCCCGTTCATGTATATCTTGTTCACACCAAAAAGGATTTGTGCTTATATAACGGGAGCCATATGATGTTCCCTCTTAACTGATTATATGGGTGTGTGAAATGATGATGAGATGTGTGCTTGTTTGCATGTTTGAAATGAAGAGGATGCCAATACCCTTCTATTGCTGAGGAAATTAAAAGTGTTGCAAGTGCTGATCCTGCCAACCGAAAGCTTTTTGTTCGTGGCTTGGCTTGGAATACTACCACCGAAACCTTGTGTGCTGTGAGTGCATTGCTGATGCTTGTTGTGCTTGTGTTGTATGTGTATTGGTCCACTCGAGATGAGTATATGTATTGCATATAAGTTTTGATGAAATTATTTAAGGTTTATTAGCATATACCTACCTCTTGCAATGGCTTCAAAGACCGTTGATTAACACATGATTACATCCAGGCCTTTGTTGAGCATGGTGAAATCGAGGAGGGTGCTGTTATAATCGATAAAGCAAGTGGAAAATCACGTGGGTATGGTTTTATTACTTATAAAGATATTGATTCAACCCGGAGAGCGTTAGAAGCACCAAGTAAACTGATTGATGTAAGTATTATTTGTTCCTTTTTGTTGGGGGATACAAACCGATTACTCTTGGGGCGTCCGCCTTTTTTATATTAATATAAGCTTAAAATTGGATAGTCATTCCTCTCTAAGGGTGTGTTTGGTAGACTGTACAGGATGAGACTGGATAGAACAAAAACCTATTGTCCTACGTTTGGCACGACAGGGACAGGATGAGACTGATTTGGGACAAAAAAAATAGGTGGAACAAATATCAGAAAGATGAGACAAAGATCGGTAAATTACTGAACTATTCATGTCAAATTAAAACCCTAAAACCTTCCGCAATTCTTTCACCTGCCTATCTCGCTCTCGACTATCTGGTCCCGTAAGCATACCAAATACACCCTAACTAAACACAACTTTTCGTTTCTTGGCAAAATTTCAAAATTTTCTCAAGAGTGATTGTTACGAAATAGTTGTCCATTCTCTATTAATTCTACTCTTTTGGCTCTGAATGTGAAATTTGTATTTAGTAAAAGTATGCTTATCATTTTTTCTTCTACAATCTTGACACCGATTTTTTTGGGTATTTGTAATGCTTTTTGATATAAATTATTCATTTTCCATGAAAACCAAATATAATTGATATCAAATTTAAAATTAAACGTAGTTTGATTAATTTTCAAAGCGGGGAAGTATAGATTTACCATTGGTTGTGGTCGACATGAAATAACCGCTCTACCCTATTGGGGTAGAGGTCAAGTCTACCTACATCCCCCATCCCACCCTGGCACCGACCTTACTTTCAAGTGGGATTTACTGGGTCGGCTTGCTTTGGTTTGGTTTGGTTTGATTTGATTGTGGTCGACATGATTCCCTCTATGTTAAACCATTTATTTGTGGGAAATATGTTTGTATTCAGTCTTCTTAGTCTTGAAGGTCGACAATATAATATCGTTGCAGACTTTTCTTTTCGTTCGGTTGCTCAAATATGTTTGTATTTCAGGGCCGAATGGCTGTTTGCACTCTAGCTTGTGAAGGCGTTAGTAACGTGAGTAGCACCGATCAAGCACAAAGGAAGCTCTATATTGGTGGTTTGTCCCCTGAAATAACAAGTGAGATGCTTCTTGTTTTCTTTAAAAAACATGGTGAGATAGAAGAAGGTTCGGTCGCGTATGACAAGGAGTCGAACAAATCACGGTACATACTTTTTACATCTATCTATTAGAATGGTGATGCTTATAATAACATGGAGCTTTTGTACCCAAAATAAACGCCGCAATGAAAATGGTGCAGAGTTTTGGAAATGTATAATCGTTACAGTTTTTAATCAACTAAATGACAATCTTACCCTTAACAATAGGGAGTAATGAATTTTGCCATCTCATGATTAAGGGTAGAATTGATAAGAAAAAGGCACATAGTTTTAAAATTATGTAATTATTACCGTTTTTGATTAACTAAATGACAATTTTCCCCTTAATAATAGAGTGAGTAGTGAATTTTGCCATCTCGGGATTAAGGGTAGAATCAATGAAAAACGCACACATTTTTAGAAGTATGTAATTGTTACCTTATTCTAATTAAGTAAATGACGATTTTACCCTTAAAATAGGGGGAGCAATGAATTTCTCCAAGGGTAGAATTGGAAAGTAGGCACTTGCTTTTAAAAGTGGACACTTATTTTGCTGGTGCTCCTGAAAAAGTGAATTCTTTTGCTTCATTTCAAAATCTTTGAAGTCTTTATTCGTTTGCATGCTTTGTCTCAAGTGGTTTTGGGTTCATTACCTACAAGAGTGTAGAGGCTGCAAAGAAGGCTATTGATGATCCACAAAAGATGTTGGGGGTAAGAGTTAATTCATACAAAATTTCAACATTAGTAGGATAAAATTGAAATTCCTAAATTACCCTTTCGATGCAGGGTCGAAGCATCACGGTGAAACTTGCAGATAACCAGAAGAACAAAGTGGTGCAGGCGACACAAGTGGCGTTACCAGGAGGAATGGTTCCTGTACACATTGGTGGATACCCTGCACAGGCCGCAAAGCCACACCCGTATACTTATCCTGGCGGCATTGCATACCCCAACCAACCAACTGCCGCCAGTGCTGCCGCCCCTCCGCCATACTCGATCCAACCCCAGATTTCGTACACTCAATACACACCAAGAAAAGAAATTATGGCTGCACCACCTACAGGATTAGCTACTTATCCTTATTACTTCACCAAATAACCAGCAGCAGGGTGAAGGCTGGTTGGGTCTGTATCGGTCTGTATCTTTGAAGGTGCTCGGTGGGAATGTAAGGAAAAAAAGCAAGCAACTTGAGAAACTTCAGTGTTGTAAGTCTATCCATATTGGGTAGGAGTAGGTTGTAGAATTTATGCAATTTGGTTATTAATCTATGGCTTGAGATTATATATCAAGGCTCGAAATCCGACTTTATGAAACATGCCAAAAAAAAAAAAATAATAAATAAATAAATAAATAAAAAATCTGTTGGTACCGACCGGTAAGGCAGTAACCCCATCTTTCTGGAGATCAATGGTTCAAGAGTCATCAAGTTACGAGAAGATTTTTATTTTGAGATATGGGGCACTACCATTTCTCCCGAGTTGTTAATGTGTATATACATGATGTCAAAAATAAAAACCGTCATGAATTACAACAAAACTTATTTTACCGATGTTTTAAGCATTTTTAATCGAAGAAATTGCAAAAGTAATTTAAATATGAATATGTGATTCAATGTTAGGGGTTGTTTGTTTACCTTTTAATAGTTTTATTAAGAGACAACATCTGAATCATTATAAGGTGAATCTTGTTTGGCAAAAAAAAAGTCTGTCTCTTAATGGTTCTAAAGCCTTCAGAATGATTTTGTATCCTAAGTCTCCTTTAATCATTAAGCGCCATGATTTCATTGTAAACAATTACCAAACAATTATATTTCATTTTGCACTGTATCATGAAAGACTATTAATCATTTTGACCACTTAATCATTCTGCAACAAACTATTCAGCAATTGTCAAATAACCTCTTACTGATAATTTATATGGATTTATATTTAGTATTCACATATAAACTTCTCTTTCCTACATTTTTGCCATATTTGGTATTGTTATTTATTTTTAGAAGGATTTGATTTCCAATCACTTTTTAACATATTTGGTGCATCATTTTGCAATTTAAAAATAAAAAAAAAACCGAAATTTTCATTTTCTCCCCATAAGTTTGATAGGTGAACATATACAATCCCTCCAAAACCCTGTAAAGATACCAAAACCCTATCATCCGAGCTCCTCAAATGGCCGATACCTAAAATTTGGCCAAAAAGAATCTAAATTGGAGCTCCAAATCCTTCTCCTCTCTCTGCCCATTTCAGATTAAGGTTAGATATCAACTACGAATCTTTCTGTTTACAGTTATATCTTCGAAAGATAGTATTTTTATAGATTTTAGAACTTAGATTTTACCCAAATCCCTAAACTGTTCATCATGAACCATCTGTCAAAGCTTCGAACTTGTTCTATTCTCAAATGGGATTTCGTGAATTTGGCTGAATTCAATCTTACCCCATCAAAAACCACCATTGGAGGTGCTTGTCTCAACCACATTACCCAAAACCCTAGGTTCTATCGTAGAAAAGCATCTGTTCAATCAATCAATGGTCAGAAATCAAATGTTTTGCCCAACGAAGACGATGGTTCTTCCATAGCACTTCGAGAAGCACAAGATGCTTTGATCGAATACCTCCATTCCACAAGAAGTTTGCAGTATTTGGATGCTGAAAATATCGGTCGAAATTCGCCTAAATTTCTTGAAAATTTGCTGAAAGGCGTAGAAAATGAGAAGGATGCTAAACAGTCGATAAGAAGGTTGCTTCGATACCATCCGATAAACGAATTTGAGCCTTTCTTTGAGAGCATGGGTTTGAAGCTATGTGAGTATTCTTCGATTTTGCCACGAAATATTATGTATTTATCAGATGATCAACTGTTGTTAGCGAATTATCATGTGTTATGTGAGTATGGAATAGCTCCAAATAAGATGGGAAAGATTTTCTTGGAAGCTCGGGAAGTTTTTCGATACGATCATGGTCGTTTGCTATCGCAGCTTGATTCTCTTCAAGAAATGGGGTTTTCTCAATCTGGTGTTGCTAAGATCGTGGCTTCAAGCCCGAATCTTTTAGTAAATCGGGATTTCTCCAAGGTTTTAGATCAGTTAACAGATGTCGGGATTGTAGAAAGTTGGTTCGATGTGCATATTTCGGAGGAAAATTCGTACGATTGGAGCAAGATTCTTGAAACTTTATCTTTACTCAAGAAATTCGGTATTAGAAATCAAGATTTAGGAGAATTATTGCGCAAGAATGCGGCAGTTCTAATGGAAGATTCAGGAGCTAGAACCATTTCATTGATTGTGTTCTTGATAAAGTTTGGAGCTTCCGTTGATGACATACTATCAATGTTTAAGCAGTTCCCAGAATTCGGGATCCAAAGATTTATGTCAAATTTGAAGAATGGCTATCACTTTCTTCTTGCAATCGAGATGGATATCAACGACATTTCAAATATCATTCGTACCCACCCGACTGTTCTTGGTTCTTGCATCCTAAAAACTGTCAAAACTCTGCTAAACGGATTAAATTCTGGGAAAAAGCGGCTTTGTGATATCATAAAAGAAAACCCGCTAGAAATGAAGAACTGGGTTCTAGGAACGAAAGTGAAAGCCTTACCGAACTCAAAGAAAGATTTTCCCCAGAAAAAGATTCGATTTTTGTTAGATTTAGGATTCACCGAAAACTCTAGCGAAATGAGCAAGGCTCTGAAGTCATTCCGAGGCCATGGAGGGGAGCTTCAAGAACGGTTTGATTGTTTGGTGAACGCTGGATTAAGGCGCGAAGATGTTGCAGTAATGGTTAAATCAGCTCCTCAAGTTATAAATCAAACCAAAGAGGTACTAGAAACGAAGATAGATTTTCTTGTTAATGATTTACGTTATCCTGTTGCTTCGTTAGTTGCATATCCAGCGTTTTTATCGTGCTCTTTTCAGAAGATTAAGCTTCGGTTTGCAATGTGTAATTGGCTCGTAGATTGTGGGAAAATGAAAGGTAAGTTGGCGTTGAGCACGGTTCTTGCTAGCTCCGATAGGAATTTTTTACGAGATAAAGTAGATCGTCATCCTGAACGAATGGAGGTTTGGAATAAATTCAAGAACCAATTTTATCCCGAATGAACAACTTCTATAGATTGGAAATATGGCAACCATTTAAACAAGAGTTTTCCGTTCTATCCATATTAGCTTCGAGTTGTCGGTTGTTGCAGAGACGTAAACCAAACGAAACCGATGTGTCCTGAAAGCGTGCATGACGGTGGGATGTATGCACACCTGACTTTTCTATCGAAAGTGACAATAGCAGTAGAGAAAAGCTGTAAAAGAACCAAAAAGAGGGTGTTCTTTGACTTTCAAAAGTCAAACATACACTTTCCAAGATCAAGATTTTTGATGAAACTCCAAATTTTGATGTGGGTTATAAGTTTTCTTGAAAAAGTCGATTTGCAGAACAGCTGTGTTCATAGCACTTCCTCTTACACCAGTTCCATTTGACCGACTTCTCTATTGGATATACTTTGATTTATTTGTTAGATGTTGAAAATCGAAACTCAAAAGTTAGATTATGCATCTTTTTTCAAATTAGGGGGTGTTTGATATTGTTTATAAAAACAACTTATTGACTTACTTCGATGTGACACCGGTAATAAGCACTTATGAGTGTTTGGATAAACAACTTATACCGGTACCAAACTGGTAATAAGGAGTTTTTTTTGAAGAAGTTAAACTCTTCTAACTTATAATAAATTGATAAGTGCTTTTGTAGAAAAATATAAGTTGTTTCAAATAAGCAAGTCCCAAACACCCCCTTAATCAGTGTTCTAAAAGACGCTTCATGATAATTACTGTGTGTAACATCACGCTTGAGCAAACCCCAAATTTCCAATTCCTATAAGATCTCCAATAAAATATAATTTATTGATTATTGGGACCAAAATTGATCCTAAATTATTCTAAAAGTTTTGTCAAAACCATCTGAACCAAGGATGGAAAATCTGAAAATGCTGCTAAAAAGACTAAGTCTAGAGGAAGACCAGAGACAATGGTTGGACCAGAGGCAATAGTCCAGAGGCTGCTGAAATGGCTAAGTCTGGAAGAAGACCAGAGGCCATGAAGGACCAGAGGTGAGACTATGAAGGACCAGAGCAATGGTTGGACCAGAGGCAATGGTCCAGAGGCTGCTGAAATAGCTAAGTCTGGAAGAAGACCAGAGGCCATGAAGGACAAGAGGTGAGACTATGAAGGACCAGAGGCAATGGTCCAGAGGCCAACACTTTGAAACACACAAATCTGGGCATAACATTAATTAACCTCAAAATATGAGATATTAATTTCTAGAAAAACATCGAAATATCCGTTCTATTTTAGTGATAAAACCAYCCAAAACACAATTCCAAATCGGATATAACGGATTTTTACTTACAACCCGAATTAAGTAGCCAAAAGAATACGGGACAAGACTATATATATATAAGTTACTATTTACCCAAAAGTAAGATCGATATCTTCAAGTTCCCCGATAAATCTTCAAGTCAGACAACGGGTTCTTTCTATTTATCCGTCTTCTTTCCTGAGAAAGGTCGTCACTTAAATGGTAAGCCAACGCTTAGTGAGTTAAATAGTTAAGTATTACATATCAATATCACACATGTTTATAAACATATATAATAAACTCTTATCAATAAAAGAGTTCAAGACATCATCTAGATATAAACCGAGACTTACAAGAAACCGAGTGAACCATTACGTACCGGATGCCAAGATCATAGGATTCCATATTCAAATCACCATATTATACCATACCGTTGTTGCTCAATACAACAAGGAGACAGGATCAACGACCAAATATATTCAACAACGTTAGAATACCAATAAATATCAAGAACCAAGAGATCGAATCAGTATACATAACGAAGACAGTGCAACACCCCGTCCTTCACCTCCCGGGCTCATGCCAAAGTCCGAGTCAGAATCATACATTACGGGAAACCTCGCACTGCCCGCCTTCCTCTACCGGGTATGTGCCAAGGTTCCCTACTCATTGCTCTTCCTCCTTTCTGAGCAATGAGTATTCACAACCGCAGAAAGTCTCACCCGTCCAACCTGGGATCTTGACTCCGCCATAAACTTCTGGTGTACCACACGAAGTAGTACCCGTACTATGGCATACAAAACAACGAGTCCGGATTCAGAAAGCAAACCGATGTACCGAGATAGTAATAAGGAATCGACTTAAGAGACGAAATCAAAGACAGATCAAGATCGTGTGACTCCATTCAAGACCAAAAACATTCATATGAAAATATATATATGTTCAAATCAATATGTAACAATTAACTA